GGCAACAAGTAAAACAAGGTTTATGCTTCTCTATTCTGCGAGGATCGTATGTGCAGATTGCTTTGGTTGATTGACCGAGAGAATTGTTTTCCTAAGGCGATGGTTGTGGCAACGTTAAACCCGAAGTTTGCACTACCAATGGATTGCATCAGCGAAGACGTGTGAACAGTGTAGTGGAGAACATCGATGGATGAGAGGTGAGTGAAGTAACTTCCATGAGCTGATAGTTTTGCTGAGGAGGTGGAGCGGCAGGCAAATAGTAATTGTAGGGCTGAGTTGATTGCAGGCACATTGTTGACAAATGATAAGTAAAGGTCACGTAAAATATTGCCTTTACATCATGCACGAGGCATATTGCACATTGCACAATGTGCATTCCACATTCACCATTCTTTAGAGTTTGGGACTGAGTCTAGTCTTCATGGGGGTTCAATCGGCGTATGGACTAATCGTGGTCACTATTTCCAGGTCCGACAAGTGCACCAAAGTTGGCGTGTGTTGGTGAGAAGAGTGGAAGTAAAGGGCCACGTGATGGACCAAAATCGAGAGCAGACCAGTCAACACACCCCTTCACTTCTGTGGAGGCACCTAGAATGCGTAAGCTCTGCAAGATCTTCATTGAATCAATGACGCTATTTTCAGTATGTTGTGCAGTTAATACTACAAATAACGTATCCTCCGTAAGACTTCCCACTTTGATTTTTGAAGTTATGCGTGAAGCATTCAGAATGGAGCGTTAGTAGCAAGGTTAATTGGGGTATTCTCAATCGAAAGTTCAATGTTTCACATTTCTATGCAATGATTTAACGCTTATGTATGTTGTGAAGCAATATTGACATTCGGCAGATTTATCTTTCCATTTACAAGAACAAATGAATGAGATTAAATGTGCATTTTAGCTGAATAGAAATCATGAATATTCATTTCACACCAATTCCATTTTCGATAAATCATCCATATACCACACTGGAGCTGGATAATGAGAGGGGTAGAGGAAAATTATTCTGTTTCAGGACGTACTCCAAGTGGTAGCTTGTTTTGCGAGTGTGTGTGTGTGTGTGTGTATGTCGACTGATGGAGCAGTTCTTTGCCTGTCATATTCAAGATGATAAATTGTTAGCTTATCACAGTACCTTCTAGTTTCAATTGACAGAATATTTGAAAATATGGTGTGGGCTATCATTGAAAAGCTATTGGCTGACATCAGTTCATTCACAGGAATAAACTCAGTTTGGTTAATTTTGAGTTCAAATTGTACAGTGAGTGTAATCATTACCATTTTGAGAAGGGAGTGTAGGCTCCTGTGTTTATTCCTTTAGCACGCAAGATGTTGACTTTCATCATGGCAATGCTCGTTGCAATTGCTGTGTAACAGGCTGGACTCATTAGCATAGCAGTTATCATTGGGAAACCCCTCCCCTGCTCCCATGTGATTGAGCACATTGAGAAAACATGAGGTGTGAGTTTGTATAAATTATACTATATACTTAGGATGCGTATTCAATTAGTAATGCGATACATTGATCTCACATCTAGATTTGCTCATTGTCCTCTGTTACCTCCTAAAAGAGTTAAGAGTTATCAATGAAAATGGAATTCAAAACTTGATTACAATGGTGTGGTATGAGAACACCAGTCATAGTTAGTGGTCAAAAAAATGTTGCCGAAGATCATTATGCATACAACGGGAAGTGTAGCATTGAGTGGTGTTCTGTTGATAAAGCGAAATGTTTCCGTACGATTTAGTTGATTCATCAAGAGGATCGGTTTCCAAAGTGGAAGGTAGAGCAACAGTAAACCCCGAAATTAGAAGGTGCGAAAGAGAAGTATCGAAGAAGACGAGGATTTCAAGGAATAAGTCTTCAGTTACACGGCACTCTGCTCCGGTTGCAATGGAGGAGAGTGAACATTCCAGTGGTGGTGACAAAAGGGAAAGTGATTCCTCTGGTACTGACTCCACGATTGCATGTGTTGAGGAGCCTAATGAGAAGGAGGACAAAGGCTAGTCTTGGTGTTTGCTATTTCTTAGTTTATCTAACTGTCTGAGTCACCAAGCATTCCTATCAAACATTGCAATATTCTTGACCCCGCGAATACATTGCTGGGAGTGCAAACGGAAGGATGGAAGACGAGAGAAAAGGGAGTGGAGAAAATCGAGGAGTGAGTCAATATCCATATGCAATACCCTCTAATTTCAATTGACAGAATCTTTGAAAATATGGCGTGACCTGACCATTGGTAAGCATACACAGAAGTAAAATCAATTTGGAAAATTTTGAGTTTTAACGGTGTAGTTTACATCCCTCTTAAACCATGCTAATTGCAATTGCTGAGTTTCTACCACGACTCATTTGGCATAGCATTAAGCAAGCAGATATTAATCTTTGTAAGTAAAGACATTGGGTGCGCATGAAAAATGAGTTTGTATTAATGTAAATATGTTCTGTGGCAAAGGCAGATAAATGCGTACATTCCTACCCGTAAGTGGGATTGGACGACCTTGGAGAGTTGACTCACATTCCTGTTTTCCTTTTTTTATAACAAATTCATTGTCGGCTTGCAATCTTCTTACATGAATCAAAAGGTTACTAAGCCTTTGCATTCTTTGTGATAATGTAGAATGATGTTTCGCGGTTTTCTTTATTTAGATTAAGCGAGTTTTGAATACCACTCTTTGTGATGTTTAAATTATCAAACATCGACAGTTGACCCCTATTTCCATGCATTAGATGAGAACAAAGTGCACAAAGGTTTTTAAAGAGGCAGATTTTATTTTTTATTCTTATAATTTATTTATATCTATTATGCTTACAATTTCTAAACCCCCCTCCTCACAATTATAGATAGCAAAAAAATGCATTTTTAGAATGTTTATCCTAAACGAACCGATTGCTAAGTCGAAAAACATGTATGAATAAAGTTCGGTTTATTTGGATCTGATGAAGCATGTTTACAAGGATACGACAGATAGGAGAATGACTTCTTCTGGAAGACGAAAGGTTCCAAAGAGTCCATCGAAATCAGGTGAATGAATGATTTCTTATTGTGGATTGGTCTCAGGCCACATAGGTCGTTATGCTTGTCGAGAACGAAATTGCATGCTTCTGTTTCTGCGACTATTAGGATGTGATTGACAGCGATGAACCTCACTATTTTTGTCAGAATTCACTTCAACTAATTGGTAATACTTTGAAAATCGACACTGTTAGGTGGTTAATAGGCTAATCGAACGAAGTTCTTTGTTGGTCTCTCCAAAGGTGAAATTTTTTAGTTTTTTCTCGTGAGGGAGATAGTGTAATTGTTCATGGCACATTAAAGTCAGAATCATCTTCGTTGGAACCAAGTTACATGATTTTTTTAGTAATCCCACAAACGAATTTCTCATCATTAACTGGCTCTGAAAATAAGATTAGTCTTCTCGAAGTATGTTAACGGGCCTTAAATCGACTTCTTTCAGAATAATCGCTCTAAATGTATGGTAATGCGAGTGTTTGAGTATTAACTGGACGAAAATACTAGTTGGATCTGATTTTATGATGAATGATGACACTATTACTTTGATTCCATTATAGCAATGAGAATAACTCAAACGAGTTCGCAGAGGACATCTAATATTGCGCATGAAGTGTGTCGAACATCTTCCCAGGAAGTGAATGCAATGATTCTCACTCTCTCAAAGGAAGCTCTTAAAGAATCATATTTGTAACCAATCAAATTTGACGATGAATAAAGATGCAACAATGTGTTAATTCTCCTTCGTTATATTGTCAATTTGATTCCACCTTGGATTATTTTTATACTCACTCATTTTTATACCCACTCATATATATATATATATATATATATATATATAGATAAATTAGGCATTACAGAAATTGGTATGTCCTTGATATTGGGAAAAACATACTAAGGTTGTTAAATCACTGAATTGTGCCGCGTGTCCGTCAAAATGATCTACATTCTCCTATAAGGTATCGATTTTATGCAAATATTTATTATCGAAACATGATGGTACAAAGTGATCTAAACCAAGTAATTATATCTAGGGTCATGTGGAATTTTGAAAGAAGGTACTGATAGGTTGGATACGCCAAAAATTGGGAAAAATTTCAATTTCAACTTTGATATTTCAGTTGGGAAGCATTTTCTTGGAATGATGTCTTACAGATTCCAATGAATATTTGATTTTAAGCGTAAAAATTGTAGGCATGTTCGCTGAATGTATGTAATATTTGTCATTTACAGCAATTCGAAAAGACAAATCGGCGGATATTTACGCAGAAACTTGTACTGAAAATCAATAGAAACCAAGAACTAAGAGATGATAAAATTGTATCCTGTCAACAACACAAATCCGTTTTTTGTTTGTTATTTATTCATTAACTCTAACTTTGATAAAGACCAAAATCTATTAAAGACAATTACAATTTTAATTTAATGAATCAGCTGCTAGATTTGCCGTAAACAACCGTGCAAAACCTCAGGATGGAATAATTTAAATTTAAATTAATTTAGGAAAAAAGAAATACTTTCAACTCAAACATTCACCTCATCCCTTCTACGGGGGGAGGGATTGGGAATTAGAGATTTCATAGTTGAAATTGAACTTTGTTATAATTTGATATTAGAAAGTGAATTAGCGCTTGATTGGAGAAAGGGGATCACTATGTGCCTCCAGAACTCAATTATGGCTCTTGCTCCCATCATTCACTTTTACTAACTCACACATTTTCAAGTGCTACTAACCTATTTGTCTACGCGCTGAAATGGCGATGCAAATAGGCAGAACAAAACATAATGAACTAACTTCAAGGCACCCGTGCGTTAAAAGAAATCATCAGATACGCCTTTAACATTTTGCCTTATATTAAGGAAAAGCGTTTAACCCTGTGCTGTCAAATGTGTTAGGGTTGAGTTAATGTCAGCAATGTTGTCATAAATACAAACATTTGCACTTTTATAAACTTTATTCGAAGTATCGTGATTAATTACATAACATGCAAAAAATCGCATTTTAATCTTTGAATTTTTCGCTTCTGTGTGCGTCGAAGTATTCAATAACTGAATCTTACCGATCACTTATGTTATAGCCCGAATCAACCAATTAGAAATCATATAGGTTACACTTGAGTGAGGAAGTCACCATCCCTTAGTATTACCATCGAAAAAGAAGATAAGATTGAAAGAGATATATTTCTTCGTAAAAATGCAAGAATGCTTTAATGGTTGATACCGGATCAATGGCCTTTTAATTTGTAGCTTTTACAGGGCAACTACTAAAGCCCCCCGCACATATAGAAATGTTTTCCGATGCACTTCCTGAGTAGAACTTGAAATCAAGGAGAACTCCTGGTGCTGACCTCGAGTCCTATCAACATAATTATCATTTTAACACTTATTTATTTATATCAAATGGCAGGCTTTACGGTAGTTACCATTATCCCTTTATTCCGCTTCGGGCTTCACAGAGGGAAGGAACGTCAAAGTTACAAAATATCGAGGTGTGAGGAGGAACAGAAGAGTGAATCAATGATGTAAAGGAGACAGACAAAAGGGTTGAAGAAAAGGTGAGTTGATTACTGTGGAAGTGGTGGAATATGAAAGACAGTCTGGTAATGGTAGTTTGAAATCAAAAGTCAACTGCCGGTTTATGGATTTTTTTGCCGCATGAGTATATGTTGCCCAGGGTGCGCAAAGCGGAGGCAATTTCATCGCACACACCACATTGTAACATCGATCGTTCATTTTAGCCAAGTACTCCGTGGCATAATTCGGTTAAAAGCACTAGAATCAGTATTAGTACAGCAGCTGAATTTCTAAACGCCAGAGACATTAAAAAACGAATTTCTATGTCGAAAATGATCAAGTGTTTACCATGGAAAAACATTAAAAACCCAAATCGATCGCTATTCCCATATTGTTTGCGGAGTTAAATTCAATTTTAAATAAACAGAATTTGTGAGCGATGACTGAGCGAGCATACCGCACATTCTGAGAAGTTAATATCAGTGCAGAGACGAGTCTGAATTTCAGTTTTTATTTCCCATTCAAGTAAAAGGAGATAAGATTTTGACATAAGGAAAAAGAACGACCAATGCCTTCCTCGTCGAAGCGAACACAACATCTTTTGCATGTTAAATGTAAGCGAAAAATGGACTTTTAAAACCTTGTTTTCAATAGTTATTTAAACTAAATAATGTTTTGGAAATGGTTAGGTTCGTCAGTGCAGGAGGTTACAAACAACAACTTTTTACAAAATCAGCCAATACTCACCGCATATTCACCCGAGCAAGGGACCTCGAAAAATGCCAGAAACAGACAAATTCAGGAAGTGGCTCAACATTACACGCAGCGAAATTGTAGTTATAAACAATTAGCACATGAAACAGGTAATTATAAGTCGGAAAATCGCAATTATATTTCACTGAAATTTTGAGGTGAATTTTGTTATGCGCCTCATTGTAAAGAGTCCTCACCGTATCCACCATCAAGTTCTTTATAACGCGGTTTAACAGTGCAATCTTAGCAGATCAAATTGGAAATCCACTTTTACAGAAGATGGTGGAATTATATTTGCAATTAGTAAGATAAAGATGGCTTGCATATCACAAAAGAGGGTCAATAATGGCTCAAAACTTGTCAGAGTCTTAAGTCTATAAATTTGACTAATGGTAGTATTTGGAAGTACATCAAGCTCGGTGATACTTAGACTTTTCTGCTTCATGGACACATGTTTTCGGCGATTGTATGATGGTACTTTAGTTGCATTCTAGAGCGTCTTCATCGCTTTCGCAACTTTCGGTATCGTGTACATTCCTATAACAAGTTTTAACAACAACAAACATAATTTAATGGCACATAAAAATTAGATCACCAGTCAAACACGCGAGGTGAGTATTTGCTAAGTGGCTTGCAGAACGCATTGAACTAGCAATCGGCAATCGGTTTCAGAAATGGAAGGTTTGGCAACATTAAATCTCGAAGTTGGAAAAGGCGAACAAGAAGTGAGGAACAAGACCAAGACTTCAAGAAATAAGTCTCCAGGTACACAGGATTCTGCTCCGTTTACAATGAAGGAAAGTGAACATTCCAGAAGTGTCGGCGAAGGTGAAAATAGGTCATCTAGTACGAGTTCCACGATTGCATTAATAGAAGAATTTAATGAGACGGAGGACGAAGGCTAGTCTTGATGTTTGCTATTTCTTAGTTTATCTAACTGTCTGAGCTCCCAAGCATTCCTATCAATTATCGCAATATTCTAGATTCCGTGACTACACTGATGGGAGTGCAAACTGAAACGAGGAAGACGAGAGAAAGATGGAGTGGAGAGAATCGAGGGAGTAAAAGTGGTGAGTGAGCTAATTTCCATGTACCGATTGTTTTGGTGAGGTGTTGGATTAACATGCGAATTGTCATTTCTGGGACAGTTATAAAAATCGCCTAAAATAAGTACATTTTATCACGCATGAGGGTGCATTGTTCATTCCATATCCTACACAATAACCATTATCATAATATTGATATTTTCTAATTTCAATTGGTAGAATCAATGTTATTAAGGTACAAGCTCACAATTGGCAAGCAATTTGACGTCTTTTGTTCAATCCCAAAAATGTCACCTCTTTGGCAATTGTGGAGTTGAAAATGTGAAGTGAATGTAGACAGTTCTATTTGGACACGATAGCGTAGGCTCTTGTGTTAATTCTTTTAGCACACAAAATGTTAACTTTCGTCGCAAGCAATTTTTCCTGCAATTGATGGGTTTTTTCCTGACTGATTGACATAACAGTTAGCAGACGGATACCAATATTTGTGATAAATGTTAGTAGGTGCATATGAGAAATTAGTTTATCTAAGTGTAAATATATACTAAGGAAACGGTAGGATACCGCTTCCAATCCGACCTGCATGGGAAATTGAGCAACTATGAAGATCTCACTTTACCATCCGTATTTGCAGTGGGACATTTCTTAGAAGAGTAGAGTCAGTAGTTGGCCCCCAACCTCTTCAACCACTTATCACTTTGAGACATTAGCTAGATCTCGCTTACAGTGTAGTTTTAGCACCACTTACCATGTGATGAGAGTGCTTGAAATTGAAGATCCCCATTGTTGTCCACTCCATCAGTCAACACACTGCTTCCTTACTTGTTAGCATAGCTATGTGTTTACATGATAAAGTGAGGATAATGGGCAAACAAATTGCCTTTATATACTGAAAGGCGACACAGAGCCACCCAACATCGAACGCTTTCAATTAGCAATACGATACATTGATAACATCTCTAAATTTGCACATTGTTCTTTTTCACTCCTAACACAGTTAAGAGTTATCAATGAAATGGAATTCGAAACTTGATTACAATGGTGATGTATGAGAACACCAGTCATAGTTAGTGGTCAAAAAAATGTTGCCGAAGATCATTATGCATACAACGGGTAGTGTAGCATGGAGTGGTGTTCTGTTGATAAAGCAAAATGTTTCCGTACGATTTAGTTGATTCATCAAGAGGATCGGTTACCAAAGTGGAAGGTAGAGCAACAGTAAACCCCAAAATTAGAAGGTGCGAAAGAGAAGTATCGAAGAAGACGAGGATTTCAAGCAATAAGTCCTCAGTTACACGGCACTCTGCTCCGGTTGCAATGGAGGAGAGTGAACATTCCAGTGGTGTGGACAATAGAGAAAGTGATTTCTCTGTTACTGACTCCACGATTGCATGTGTTGAGGAGCCTAATGAGAAGGAGGACAAAGGCTAGTCTTGGTGTTTGCTATTTCTTAGTTTATCTAACTGTCTGAGTCACCAAGCATTCCTATCAAACATTGCAATATTCTAGACCCCGTGACTACATTGCTGGGACTGCAAACTAAAACGAGGAAGACAAGAGTAAGATGGAGTGGAAGGAATCGAGTGGGCAGTAGTGGTGAGTGAGCTAATTTCCATATTCCGACTGTTGTGCTGAGGAGTTGAATTGACAAGCAAAGTCATATTTTCTGGACTGAGTTGACTGCAGACGACTTGTTGACAAAGGATTAGTACAAGACGTCATAAATAAGCACAATTCAAATTATAAATTGCACAATGTGCATTCCACATTCACCACCTTTTACAGTTTATGGACTGATTCTAGTCTTCATGGGGGTTCATTCGACGTATGGACTAATCGTGGTCACTATTTCCAGGTCCGTCAAGTGCCCCAATGTTGCCGTGTGTAGGTGAGAAGAGTGGAAGTAAAGGGCCACGTGTTGGACAACAATCGAGAGCAGACCAGTCAACACACCCCTCCACTACTGCGGAGGCACCTAGAATGCGTAAGCTCTGCAAGATCTTCATTGAATCAATGACGCTATTTTCAGTATATTGTGCAGTCTATGCTACAGATAACGAATCCTCCGTAAGACTTCCCACTTTGATTTTTGAAGTTATGCGTGAAGCATTCAGAATGGAGCGTTAGTAGCAAGGTTAATTGGGGTATTCTCAATCGAAAGTTCAATGTTTCACATTTCTATGCAATGATTTAACGCTTGTGTATGTTGTGAAGCAATATTGACATTCGGCGGATTTATCTTTCCATTTACAAGAACAAATGATTGAGATTGAATGTGCATTTTAGCTGAATAGAAATCATGAATATTCGTTTCACACCAATTCCATTTTCGATAAATCATCCATATACCACACTGGAGCTGGATAATGAGAGGGGTAGAGGAAAATTATTCTGTTTCAGGACGTACTCCAAGTGGTAGCTTGTTTTGTGAGTGTGTGTGCGTGTGTGTGTGTTTGTTGACTGAAGGAGCAGTTCTTTGCCTATCATGTTCAAGATGATAAGTTATTAGCTTCTCACAATACCTTCTAGTTTCAATTGACAGAATTTTTGAAAATATGGCATGAGCTATCATTGAAAAGCAATTGGTCGACTTCTGTTCATTCACAGAAATAAATTTAGTTTGGTTAATTTTGAGTTCAAATTGTACAGTGAGTGTAATCATTACCATTTTGAGAAGGGAGTGTAGGCTCCTGTGTTTATTCCTTTAGCACGCAAGATGTTGACTTTCATCATGGCAATGCTCGTTGCAATTGCTGTGTAACAGGCTGGACTCATTAGCATAGCAGTTATCATTGGGAAACCCCTCCCCTGCTCCCATGTGATTGAGCACATTGAGAAAACATGAGGTGTGAGTTTGTATAAATTATACTATATACTTAGAATGCGTATTCAATTAGTAATGCGATACATTGATCTCACATCTAGATTTGCTCATTGTCCTCTGTTGCCTCCTAAAAGAGTTAAGAGTTATCAAAAAAATGGAATCCAAAACTTGATTACAATGGTGACGTATGAAAACACCTGTCATATTTAGTGGTCAAAAAAATTTTATCGAAGATCATTATGCATGCAACGGGAAGTGTAGCATTGAGTGGTGTTCTGTTGATAAAGCGAAATGTTTCCGTACGATTTAGTCGATTCATCAAGAGGATCGGTTTCCAAAGTGGAAGGTAGAGCAACAGTAAACCCCGAAATTAGAAGGTGCGAAAGAGAAGTATCGAAGAAGACGAGGATTTCAAGCAATAAGTCCTCAGTTACACGGCACTCTGCTCCGGTTGCAATGGAGGAGAGTGAACATTCCAGTGGTGGTGACAAAAGGGAAAGTGATTCCTCTGGTACTGACTCCACGATTGCATGTGTTGAGGAACCTAATGCGAAGGAGGACGAAGGCTAGTCTTGATGTTTGCTTTTTCTTTGTTTTTCTAACGGTCTAAGCCACCAAGCATTCCTATCAAACATTACAATATTCTAGACCCCGTGACTACATTGATGGGAGTGCAAAGTGAAGGGAGGAAGACAAGAAAAAGATGGAGTGGAAAGAATCGAGTGGGTAATAGAAGTGAGTGAGCTAATTTCCATATGCTGATTGTTTTGGTGAGGTGTTGGATTGGCAAGCAAACTTATATTTCCTAGACCGAGTTGACTGCAGACGACTTGTTGACAAATGATTAGTACAAGACGTCATAAATATGGCCTTTACATCAAGCACGATGCATATTGCACATTACACAATGCGCATCCCGTGTTCTCCTCTCATAACAATGTGGCACAGATCTAGTCTTCGTGGGATGTTTTATCCGACTAATTCACTAAACGTGATCACTATTTTCAGTTTCGTCGATTGCACCAAAGTTCCAGAGTGAAATGAATAGAAGAGGAAGTAAAAGGTCTCTTTTTGAGCAAGAAGTAAACGTATCACAGTCATCACAACCCTGCACTTCTGCTAAGGCGAAAAGAATGCGTAAGCTCTCCAACAGTTTTATTGAAACAAACATCATTATCAGTGTGTGGGGAGGCCTATGCAATAAATCACGAATATTCTCTAAGCCTTCACAATTGAGCTGTTTGGATTCACTTGTGACTCACTTCTTGTAACAGCCACTCATTCGCTAAGTGATCTCAATAACACCTATTTCGTCTTAAATCACCTTCAAAATGAAAATTTCCGTTTTGCCTCATGTCTGTTGAAATGAGCTTGACTCAATTAGGTCTATGATACCCGACAACATGATTTACCCTTTTCTCTCTATCTCTCATCATCTAATCCTATTATTAATAATGTTGTTGGTTTTTAAAAGGTGATTGTTGTGAATTCAACAAGGCCAACATTTCACTTAAGGATCTACCCACAGATAGAGTCTCTGCGTCGGCAGTTCCCCAATCTCTCGAATTTAGACTTTATTTCCTTCTCCAAGATTGATGGAATATCAACCGTCTAATCCACGACGCTGAACACAAATAGACAAACAGGTTGCAAAGTCATTCTTTTAGCTTTTATCGAGCCTTTTCCATTTTCCCTACCCACTGTTTGAAAATTATCACTTTCGGAATTAGCTGAAATGGATCAGTGAGAAGATAGACAGATTATTTCATTGGCTGTTGGTCACTTTCGTCTGGCTGGTTCTCAGGAACCTGTGTTGTAATTGATTGATTCAAATGTCCATTTCAACTCATTTCTGTGGTACTTCAACTGACGATTATGTGAAGGCCACATAATAGGAATTCCATATCCCTTTACATTAGACTACACGAGATACTTTGTTCAATCAAAAACAATTTTGAACCTCTTTTTGTTAGATATATCACCTTCAAGAAGGAAGGGGAGATTTGAAGAAAGTATGATCTATTGTGACGAAGAAGATGAAAAGGTACCGTCAGAAGAGTTGATGAAGAAGGTGTCTTCTAACCGTAGATATCTACTCCGGAGACGTGATTCAAGAGGAGGCAAGTCATACAAGACTTATTGTGAATCTATTATTTAAGCTCAACTTGGATTTAGTAAGCCATGCTATAACACGAGTTTGTCGTCTGTGTAGATGTGTTGTTTTAAATTACCCCAAATTGTTGGAGGACTACACGAATGTGGTGCGCACAAGTTGGTGGCATTGAAGTAGTCAATAGCAGTAATCGGCATTTTTAGGGTACAAATGTCATTTGTATATTGAAATTGATAATATCAGACATGAGTGAAATAAATGGAAAGGTCAATCTTAACAAACGTATCTTGGGTAGGTGAATATCTCTTCAATACCAGACAGTATTCGATGTGCTCATATGAGTTCGAAGGCTTTGTCATCATTTTCAAAGATGCAGCATTGGTGGTGTCGTGAAAGTGAATTCATTCAACTATTCTGCCTATTCATGCAGGGGATGTGCACCTATCATTAAAAGTCATTTCATTTGGCTCATATGTAAACCACAACAGTTCTCGTGTACAATAAACTGGGCCAAAAGCAAGCTTGAGTCTGTACACAGAATGGAGGGATATGGGCAAGTTGAATTGCGAGCTTTGTGTGGTCATGTGCTTAAACAGGCCATATTATCAACTTCATCCAATTGCTTGATCTGCCGTTGCTGTGATATGTTGGTTGTGCTTGTGTGTTTGTTGTAGGGAGGTAGTTTTGAGTTAGGGTCATGAATAGGATAATCAATACATCAAGGTTCATATTTCCCAATTCTTGGATCATCGTTTTACTCGTCTACTTATGAGGGGTTTAATTGGAGCTGCAATGTTTCACATTTCAATGTAATGATCCGACTTCTGTGGATGTGTTGAAGCAAAGTAAACGATTAACAGATTTATTTTTCTATCAACAAGAACAAGTGATTGGTATTGGTCACGCATTTTAGCTTAATGGAAATCACGAAAGTTTATTCTAAGCCTACCTCATTCTCAATCAATAAACCATCTACCACACTGGAGCTGGATAATGCGGGGGTAGAGGAAAATAATTCCGTTTCAAGACATACTCCAGGTGGTAGTGGGTTACGTGAGTGCGTGTGCATGTGCTGACTGTCGGACCAGTTCTTGTCATACCATGACCTAGATGGCAAGCAGTTAGGTGTTTGAAAAACCCTCTAATTTCAATTGACAGAATCTTTGAAAATATGGCGTGAACTGACCATTGGTAAGCATACACAGAAGTAAAATCAATTTGGAAAAGTTTGAGTTTAAAATGTGTAGTTAACGTAGCGAGAACGCTAGATGTTTACATCCCTCTTAAACAATGCTAATTGCAATTGCTGAGTTTCTACCACGACTCATTTGGCATAGCATTAAGCAAGCAGATATTAATCTTTGTAAGTAAAGACATTGGGTGCGCATGAAAAATGAGTTTGTATTAATGTAAATATGTTCTGTGGCAAAGGCAGATAAATGCGTACATTCCTACCCGTAAGTGGGATTGGACGACCTTGGAGAGTTGACTCACATTCCTTTTTTCCTTTTTTTATAACAAATTCATTGTCGGCTTGCAATCTTCTTACATGAATCAAAAGGTTACTAAGCCTTTGCATTCTTTGTGATAATGTAGAATGATATTTCGCGTTTTTCTTTGTTTAGATTAAGCGAGTTTTGAATACCACACTTTGTGATGTTTTAATTATCAATCATCGACACTTGACCCCTAGGTCCATGCATTAGATGAGAACAAAGTGCACAGAGGTTTTTAAAGAGGTAGATGTTATTTTTTTATTCTTATAATATATTTCTTTATTACATGTATTTTCAGAATTTTTATCCAAGGCGAACCCGTCGCCAATCCGAAAGACATGTGTGAGGAAAGTTCGGTTTAATTTGGATCCGGTGGAGCATGTTTACAAGGATACGACAGATAGGAGAATGACTTCTTCTGGAAGACGAAAGGTTCCAAAGAGTCCATCGAAATCAGGTGAATGAATGATTTCTTATTGTGGATTAGTCTCAGCCCACATAGGTCGTTATGCTTGTCGAGAACGAAATTGCATGCTTCCGTTTCTGTGACCATTAGGAAGTGATTGACAACGATGAACCTCGCTATTTTTGTCAGAATTCACTTCAACTAATTGGTAATACTTTGAAAATCGACACTGTTAGGTGGTTAATAGGCTAATCGAACGAAATTCTTTGTTGGTCTCTGCAAAGGTGAAATTTTTTAGTTTTTTCTCGTGAGGGAGATAGTGTAATTGTTCATGGCACATTAAAGTCAGAATCATCTTCGTTGGAACCAAGTTACATGATTTTTTTAGTAATCCCACAAACGAATTTCTCATCATTAACTGGCTCTGAAAATAAGATTGGTATTCTCGAAGCATGTTAACGGGCCTTAAATCGACTTCTTTCAGAATAATCGCTCTAAATGTATGGTAATGCGAGTGTTTGAGTATTAACTGGACGAAAATACTAGTTGGATCTGATTTTATGATGAATGATGACACTATTACTTTGATTCCATTATAGCAATGAGAATAACTCAAACGAGTTCGCAGAGGACACCTAATATTGCGCATGAAGTGTGTCGAACATCTTCCCAGGAAGTGAATGCAATGATTCTCACTCTCTCAAAGGAAGCTCTTAAAGGATCATATTTGCAACCAATCAAATGTGACGATGAATAAAAATGCAACAATGTGTTCATTCTCCTTCGTATAAACGCATGGTATTATCAATTTGACCCCATCTTGGAGTTTTTTATAAAGAAATGGAAATAAATTACCTTGGTCGTTTTTACTGCTTCATGCGGACACACTCGCGCGCACTTTATAAAGCATATCTAAAGAATGAATAAATTGAGCTTAATCAGTACTTTTCGGAGTTAGAAAACATTATTTGTTGCGTTTCTCTTCTAAATAATTTAACGTATGAATATTTAGTGGACTATGAGTGGCTAGCAGGAATATGACCGTTGAGAAGATAAATCATTCAATTTTAATGGGAGGAGGGAGGGTTGGAGGGAAACTGAATTCGAGAGAAGTAATGCAAGTAGCGAGAGTGAAAATCCAAGTAAAAATTGGTTGGATCTCTCGTGTCTTTTAAAGGACAACACTATGGGGAATGTGTAGAAAAATCACTACTCATATTAATTTAATAAAAGGAAAGGCTTATGCAAACCAAAAGAAGCGAAAAGTCAAAGTAGAGCACACTTAAATTTTTTTTGCAAAAATGCGAGTGTTTTTTACAAAAACTCAGTTTCGCATTTTCTAGAATTCACCTTTGAAGAAGTGGCGCTTCATAATAAAACCACATTATTCAGAATCTCTTATTTTTTAGTAACATAACTAAGCAAGTTTTACTAATTGATTGCTTGAACGTTCAGCGCGTTCTTATTTTATAGACAAAGAGGTTTTAAGGACTATTGCTTGCGCAATACATACATGTCATTTGAATATGATTTTTTTTCAGAACACAGTTAAGATTGATACGCCACAAATTTGAGATATTTTAACTGGAATAATAATGCTTTCAAAGCTCTTATTTATGCATTTGAATGAAAAAAAGTTTCAATTTTTTATTCCAAGCTCAATTAGTTGAGCATTGAATGCATCTAATTTTGTGAGCACTATTACATTTCATTTTACTACTTTTGTCATTCTGCAACATTGTGGCTTAGGTCAAATTTAGGCAATGCCATTCATTTGCTATTAAAATAAAATTAAAATTTGGATCAGAATCATATGCTTCGAAGTTCTCTAAATTAGGATGAATATGGTTTGGATTTTGTAAATATTCACTTAGACAAATGAAAAGAGTTCCTAAGCTTCAAAACCTTTTACAACTAATTACTCATGAAGTTTTGCCAAAATAATGTCATTAATAGGGTAATTTCAATAGAATTATTTATGGAAATATTATGGCCAAATATGATCAATTATCATCATCTTCAATTTAGGTGTCCAATTTGACCTAGTGTACGAATGGTGTCCGAGATTTTTGACACTATTAGCACGAGTCCATTTATCTTCAACGAGGAGTTATTTGAATTTTGGATTGAAGGTTTATCAAGTAAATTTAGTGAAATTAATTACTGAAGAATTTATGTGTATCCTTGATTCCGTATGATTGCATTGTAAAATACTCATTTTATTCAGTTGAAATCTTTTAAAGATATAATCATATTTGTAATTTCGATTCTGGCTATCCTTTTTACTCACACGATCATTTTAAATTTAGCCGATGATGCAGCTCGAAAGTTACATTCACAAGTAGAAGTTGAGATATTCAATCTCTCACTTGACCTTTTAATCTCTTATGTTGCCGACCAGTTTGCCCAATTCACTCTACTTGAATCGGCATTGGCACGACCTGACGTTTTCATCACTTATCCCTCCAATTGCATAGTCGATTGGAGGCTGCAACGGAAACTTGTAGAGAGGTTCGCATAAAGTACACAATACTACTTAACTTCTCAGCGTCTCCATTCAGCTTCAAACCATTTTGTGCTGCTACTAGGTACTACTCTCTGGATGACATTCTCTGTCGTGAACTGTTGGGTAGCAAGCTTTCTGCTCGTTTTCGCCGTGATCTAACTGACACTGCAGAACGTTGTGGTTTGCGCCTCCGCAGTGTTAAACGTCAATATGACAATCTTCGTAGAGTAGCAAGGTTCGTGGAAGATACGCCCGGCCATCTCTGTGATATAATTAGACGCTCATTTTGCCTTCCAATTTCACTTGCCGAAAGTTATTCCGTTATGATTTTCCTTTCAGTCAATCGGTACGTTATTTTGTCTTTCTATAAATTTGTAGATCAAATAAAATCAGTTCTTATTGTTCTCATTTTAAGGCCTATCAAAATAAAGAAAAAAACAATGTAAACTTGAATTTAAATGTTTTTTTCTATTTCGTTGTGTTTGATTTATTTGATTCCGCCAAAGATATATCTATTCGTTTGATACATTGCATTCGGTCAGCATAAACAAGCCAGATGTGGAGTGTCTATCTGAATGACGAAATAATTTGCAAATGAATGTTTCCATCGAATCTCAACCGTACATTGGAAGATGCGAAAGTTATATTTTTCTATTCAATCGGGATTTGCTCTCAGCACAATATATTATGGTTTTGCCACAAGGGCCATATATCTGTCCCATTGATAGATGGGGATTTTATATCAATTTAGTATCCTCTGTACTGTCCTTTTCAAATAGGCTTTACTGGTAGCCAATCAGAATAATATAGTACATAGAATGGTAATTTCTAATAAGTGCATTGTAATTCTTCTTTGGTTACAACCCAACCGCTTTCTCCTTTTATTTCTCCAATTTTCCATCAGTTTTTAAATACTTCAGTTGGCCAACTCAACTCTTGGCCTTCAGATTTCTGAGGTGCTTGCACCTCCCCCTCCCAACCCCCCAAGGAACTTACTCTGTAGCCTTTAGTTTGCAAGGGTATACCTGGTAGTATAATTTGGTTGAACCACCAAATAAGTTCTATGGGCTGGGTTTTGTTCTAGTTTATTAATTAAATGAATTAATTAAATGAGGGTGGTTAAAATGGTTTCAGATAAATGTCATAATTTATTCATCTTTATACATAGGCTCTACCGTTGTCCATACACTAGTAATTTATTTTATTAACTATAAATTCCCTCATAGTCGTATTTTGGGGGCTACCCATGGCTTCATAAAATTATATGCCGTTAATGTGTTCAATCAGTTTTGGAAACAAATTTTTGAAGGATGCGATAGTGTTTCCCAACGAAATTCTCCCAGCAAGGCCCTGTTAGATCTTGAAAAATATTCAGAAGCATTGTCATGATGAGACAAAATTTGATTGGGCTGTTTTCCGCTACGTTCAACTTCTTCAAAACGCTTTCATAATAAATTGGGGTACCTTCTAGAAAGGTTATCAATATCACTGCATCTGATTCCCATAAAATAGTAGCTATGTCCTTCCTAACACATCTTTCAGCTTTTAACTCGAAAGGCTCAGATGTTGACATTTGGATGGCCCTCCTTTGACTGGATTTTGTTTTTCTGGATCAGTTTGGTAGATCCAAGTTTCATGCCCGGTAACACAGCGCTTTAAAAAAATCCTCATTTGCTTTCATCTTTCCGAAGTTGATTAAGAAAGTCAGATTCTTTGGTTCAGTCGTTGTTCCTGCAACGCTTTTTAAATACAACGAGCCCACAGAGTGCTTGCTCAAACCAAGACTTTCAGTGAGAATTGAAAATGCAGATCCATGTGCGATTCCTACTTCATTCTCAAAGGTATCTCGTCCATCTTGTAACATTAGGTTCTGTACAGAAGAGGCGTCTTCTTGATTTCTTGCTTTTGTGGTTTTCCCTCCTCTTGGGTCATCTTCAAGTTACACTATTCTCTCTTTAGAGCGTTTATTTCAACCATAAATGACTGCTCTACATGTCCCAGAGTTCCCACAAACCTGTTGTAAGGCTTCTATAATCTAAATGGGTTTCCAATTTAGCTAGTTAAAATGTTATGTTGGCTCGTTTTACATTTTAAGGGTTGAAAGTTGCTAGCTATTTGGAGGTTCAACCTCTCTTGATCCTGACCTTACATAGAATCATCGGACAGATGCATGTTGTTTAGGAAACTCTAAGACGTGTTTGTACTTTTAAAACCTGTAAATCTTTGTTCTATTTAAAGTTATGGCATTTGTCTGAGAACGTTTTAACTCCACTGCGTATAATTTAAATTTTTGGGTTGGTGCTTTGCTCGAGATGAAGTGATTGATAGTACGAAAATCGTTAATGCCTATGCCTCCTAGTGCCTTTTTGAAATGGTGCATATCACTTGACTTCGTTTGGCCGAAGTCTCCATGAGAAACCCGCTTTCTGCTAGTGCTGTCTGTCATTAACCAGTATGCTTAATCACAAGATGTGCACAGGCTCGTGTGATTTGTTTCGGGTTGTTTACTGTGCCCCATCTCTAGTAATGGTCTAAAAATTCTTATCTAAGGTACTAATTTCCCAACCTTTTCTTATTAACTAGGTTTGAAACATCGAAACGTTGCTTCTCAGGAGCTACGTTCGCGGATTTCGCATACTGTGCAGAACAGTTGATGACCTATTGGACGTCTTCTGACAGTTTGGAAAGTAAATTAGACTCCCCAATTGATTTAGAACTTGATTTCGAATTCTGCTCTGAGCTCAAAGTTCTCAAACTCATTGTGGAGAAGCAGACCTACCTGGAACGTCACAAAAAGTGAGTTATATTTCATTTAGAGAAACCTAACTTTTTAAAAGTGTCTAAACGTACTTATCAAGGGTTAATAACCTTTTGCTTTATAGCTTATAACCAGTTGAAGTTATGAATTGTTTAGGGTAGGAAAATTCGAGTTAGGATTTTAGTGTTTCCATTCGCAGTTATTGACGCTTGCCTAGAAATTAATTAAGAAACTAATAACTAATAACTACTTTTCTGGATTAGCCACTTCTAGCTAATTGCTGGTGACCAATAAATCTCTATTTAAGAAACCACAACATCTTTTGTAGTATGCAAATACTGATACTCTGCTCAACTACAGTTTGTGTACTATAATTTCGCGTCAATCACACCTCCGTTTTCATTATTTCTATCAACTCTAATCTTAACTCCCAGCCTTCCTCTCCCTTTGCCCTTTTGGTAGTTTCCACTCAAATCCTTATCTCCTGATTTGCAAAAGGTGCGCTTTACTCTCGGTTTTATGAAGGTCATAGGTCACTATGTGAACCAGTCTCCAAGCCTAATTTTTCGGGCTCCCAAAAGTTGTCATTCTCTTTGGATTTACTGCTGCTTTGGATCATATTTGAAATTTTATGACTTAATGACTTGATCACCCTAAATAGGATTTATCCGGGAATGCGAATTCAAGCGTGTGTAATAAAACGATTGTTGATTGATGCAGTGGTGCAATCCCACCGATTAATACTATCATTGAGCGGTAATACCACTTATTATACATACCAAATTAAGTCTATTGTAAATTTCGTTTCCCTGTGATACACTGAACTCCCATTTAAGTGCAATTTCCAGACATATATATATTTTTCAGCTTTGTACTTCGTCAGATCTCCTCGTCGGTCTCTGATTCATGTCTCCACTGGATTGGTTTAAACTTTAGGGTTTGTTTCCTTAAATCGCCTTGTTTAATTTGCCTTAACTCATTAAATATTTTAGCACGCACTTAATTTCAGACGCTTTCAAAAGCCATCACCACTATAGCCACGGGTTTATCACATGCTAAGGAGGTTAGAGACCTATTTCTCGACATTATCGAAAAGGTACTTCAATTATACTTTTATTGCGTTTTTATTATCTTTGTATTCACCCATTAGCAACAATAATCCAATGGTTGTGGTTAAAGTATTAGTTTGAATTCTAATCTGCCAATAAACGCTTCGACCACTATCTAATGTTTTAACGTCTTTAATTTCATAGGTCATTGAGGTTGTCGTGAGCTCTCAGTGGACCTATCAGGAGTTTTCCAGCTTTCTCACTTCCTTCGATGAAGCCCTTCGGATATTGCCTCCCGCAAAGTAAGTTTTATCATTTGTTAATTTGTTTTATTTTTCCGGTCTTGTACGATAATTGACCACGTAGATTCTATTATGACCTTAATTTAATAAATAAATAAATACATTTATTCACGGTGCCTTTATTACAAATCAGTTTCTCTTTGACAAAACTACCTTTCCTTATTTTGTCATCGTTTGTTTCTTTGTTACTAACTTCTTTTAAGTAGTTCGTATATCTTGACTTTCACACGTTCCCCGTTTGGCTGAATTTTTTCTTCAGTCTGTCTGCTGCAAATAGTTTTAGAAATTTAACCTGGCTGCCAAACTTTAGTGAAATGAAAACATAGCTGTTTGACGAAATATCTTTGACATTTCAGTATTGTCAAATTTGATGCTGTGTGTGGACCAAATTAGAATTGTGCATCTAAAAGCTCTATTTGCCATGTTCCTCGTTGATCTTTTTCCTTGATGTTTTTCCTACTGGCTGCTTGAAAAGCAACTCCTTATTTTACTGGCTATGTGAGCTACCTATTGTATTCCATACCTATACATATAGTAAACTGTTCATTCGGAATTCGATTTCTCTATGACCGATCGCCTATTGATAGGTAAATTTATTAGAAGTTCACATTATGCTATTACATTGGAGAAAGACCTACCAATTAATTTTCTTGAATGTTGACATTAGTTTTATCATTGATTGCTAATGTTCGGTTTTCTTGATTAATTTTTTTTATTTATTTATATCAAATGGCAGGCTTTATGATAGCCATCATTGGCCCTTTAGTTGACTTCGGACTACACAGAGAGGAGGAACATCATAGCCGCAAAATGTCGAGGGGGGATGGGGGGGGGAACAAAAGAGTGAGTCACAGATGTAAAAGAGACAGACAGACACAAAGGTAGAGAGGGAGGTAAGGCAAGTATTGTAGAAGTGGTCGAATATGGCACATAATGGGGTCATAGAGATTTGAAGTCAGAAGTCAACTGCCGGTTTATAGACTTTTTAGTCATGGTAATTTGAAGTCAGAAGTCAACTGCCGAATAATAGACTTTTTTATAGCTTGAACTCAGAAGTCAACTGCCGGTTTATAGACTTTTTTGTCACATGAGTATACGTTGCCCAGGGTGCACCACGTGGAGGTATGTCATTTGAGTATACGTTGCCCTGAGTGGACCACCTGGAGCTAAGTCGATCGCGTATCCCTTCTGCTAATTATGAAATTATGAATATGTATTCTTTATTTCATTGAGCTTACCAGAATTTTGCATGGTTTTACGAAAATGTACACTCGTCCGGTTAAAGTACAAAAGGCGTTGTCATATGATATTTAATACGTTTTCCGCTATTTCATTGGTATGAAACCAAGTGATATCTGTTTACTCCCTGATTATTTTTGCTGGTATTCTCATCTGAAGCTTCTATCTATGAGGCAATTGAAGGTTGGAAGCCTAATAATTTGGCAATTGATGCGTTTTTTACAGATTGTAATATTCCAAACGTGCACAACATGAAGTTTTATTTAATTTCCGATTTGTTCATCGTAATTCATCTTCGGTTACTTGAACAGCTCGAGACTCCATTTAAACAACTGTCGGCTTTTAACTGTGAGTGCCAGTTCTTTGTACCTTTGTAATAATCCACTTTAACAACTGCTTCCCGAACGTTTGACGTCTGGTGATCAGCATAACTAGCTGAATTTTAACCACGCCCCATATATTATGGAAAATGGGTGCCGCTTAAGTAATACCCATCAAATTTGCCATTTTAAATTGTACTTAGTGTAGCTTTATAATCTGCAACGTTATCAGGGAATCAAATCACATGTCAACAGTGCGTGTCTCTACTAAAATAACATAAATTTGAAATTGTTTGTGACTACGTATGTATATGCTGTGATGTAACTGAAATGAACTAAGATCCGCCTTGTAACTGCCCAGTTCACTCTTCTATGTTGTATTACGACTTGAATATCTGGTTTGGCTGGTATGATATATCCACCCCACCCACTAGATGTCACTGAACTTTAGTTGAATCGGAGTAGATGAAGAAGGTTAATATGGAACGCGGCTAATTGATTTTGTTTTATTAAGCAAACGAACGTAGTTTTTAGGAAAATTCTCTTTTACTGTAGTTGATACCACTGGGTCGGTTAGAGTTATTAACCCAAATATCTGTCTAATTATCAGCCCATATAGTGTGTGGGCTGATGTGGTTTGGAAATCACGTAGCAAAGCATTAAGACAACGTTTATGAAATTTGTTTTTTTTTTTTCGAACTTTTATAATTTTGACCATTTATCATTTGCTTTACTCCATTTTAGATCCTCCTCGTTCCAACGTAGTTGGGTTCGATTCTTCGCTCCCTTTAAATCCATTTGTTTGCGCCTCTTTTCCCTTCCGATTAATGCGAGCACCAACAATCTGTAAATACAGGAGACCTGTCTCTATTATCCGCCGATTCTCGTTGAGCAATATTATATGAGTTCTTTCCTTATATACCAAAAAATATAATTTTCCTATGAGCGATATTAGTTATTCTCTTGACCGGCGGAGTGCTTACACGACAAGTGGTTGGAGTGAGTTTGTGGCTAGGTTTTGCTTAGAGGCACAGGGAGCATCATTTTGACACTTGATAATTTTCATTTGCACCCATTCGATTAACACCTTATCTACTTATCCGCGTTTCAAAACACCCTTTGCATCTGTTCTAATGTATGATTATTCTTTAGCATATTCATACAGTCGTCTTCCGGCGTCTTTATCGAAATCTGCTAACCCCCCCCCCCTCTTTTATGAAGCAGTGCGGTTGGTTATTCTGCTCACTGAATGAGTACCGAATCCGTGACCCATGATTTTGGGGAGGTGTAATTCTACCACTGGTTCCTTATGGACAAAGGATCGATTTCAAAAGAAAGTAGGAGTAAAGCCCCACTTTTATCAAGGAGTTGGTGTGTGACATAGGTGGTGGGCTTTACAACACCGTTTTGTTGACTTTGTCTATTCATTAGTGCGGTCGCACACCCTTGAGATATGTCGAAAGGAGGCCACGAAATCTGTAAAATGACCACGTCCCGATATGATTGGCTTGAGAATTTCAATTAACATTTTTTTCAAATGAATAAGCGAATTAAGTGCACTGGAGATACCTCACTTTGGCATTCTCCTAAAGTTTCATTGCACAGCAGTAATTTGGCTTCGAGAGAGTTGGAGAGGAGTATGTAGATGGGGAGGAGTGGAAATGGCTCTGGAAAAGGTGCGTATGTGTAGCGGATTGCTACACTATTAAGCCTCGACTTGCTCGGTAATCTCTATATCTTGGAATGGTTCCCAGGGTTAGCTAAACCGCCACAAAGCTTTAGAGGAAACAGACGCATGGCGTTTAAGAAGCTTATTTGGTCTGTGTGTCACAGGCACGAAGTTTTGTCATTTTATACCATGAAGGGTTTATTAAACAATGTAGGGACTATCGATTGACGGTTGTCTGTCCCTACGCGATAAATAGCACGGCCTCATCTTTGAGCCTGTCTGAGTGTGCATGAGCTTGACGAATGAAATTGATAGGTTATTGCTGTGCCTCTGGGTGAAAGGCATTTTGCAGAGGCATTCAAAAACAATGAAGTAATTTCGCACGAAAACGGTTTAATTGTGAAACGCACCAAGGGAACAAGTCTTGTAACGAATGCTTTAGGTTAGTACTTGCATCAGTTTGACATAATAAAGAAAGATATCCAATCGCAATTGGCATAGAATGCTTGAGGGAATGTTGTATACGGGTCAACTAATCAGTACGTTAATACAAAATACGGAAATTTTCATGCGTAGTAGTAAATGCACTATCAATCTTAATAAATAAATGAAACAAAACATGGCCAAATCAATTCAATTTCATAAATGCCATTCTCTAAGTAAATAACTCCGATCATTTCACCTTTTAAGATTTCATGAACGGTGTTGCTGTAAGAACGCATAATTACGTATGATAGGAACAGGCAATTTGCATACATTATACTATTCATTTGCATAATAAATTGGCCATAGTGCTAGTGTTCACACGCAAACATACACACCCTCTCTACATCAAATCACATTCAAGAATGTGATACAGCACTTATAGCGTATTTTGCCGGAGAAGAAATTTCGAATGTGAATTTTATTTTAGATAATATGTTTAGCGCTTTTCAAACTCCTCAAGCACAGGAATAGTATATTGATAACAGTAAAAACTAATTAATTAAAAGGGACGGAGAGTTTCCTCTATGCGTTTTACTCATCATTGACAACCCCTTTCAAAATGGGTTATATGGTTTGGGATTTTTAGAGAGCATGAAATTCACTAACTTTCCTAACTCGATGGCCGTTTATGAACTTTCTTTTGGGAATAAGGTTTGAGAATAATCATTGATAACCAGGTCAGTTAAATATTTCTGTCATGCAACTTGTGAAACATAAGAGCCATTTGCCCTATCTGGCGCTAATAAAGCGCCTAAGGCCGGCTTGATGGAAGGGCCCAAGTTCTTATAGAACGACTGGATACACAAGGCCCAGCAACTACAGGGAAAAACTACATTCTATTGAAGAGCCACATTATATCAGAAGAGCCACATGTACATTGATCACCACAGCCAAACTCTACACATTTGCGTAAGCTAAACAAGTTAAGCGTCATAGGATTTAATTAAGCTTTCTTTTTCTCGGTCATGTTCTCTTAGAAACTCTGAATTATATTTAAAGGTAGTACCGGTCGCCATAACCACTAATTATGCTCTATGAACGTTCTCTTAATTTTCCACTTGGCACTACTCGGATTGTTGCTGTTATTTAATTTATATTCAAGCATGAAACATAAAATATGAATTAGGAATGAATTAATTTATGTTCTAATTATAGTGCTCGAAATATGCATGTAACTTTACTAATATTTTGCATCGAATTTGTTTGAATGAGTGGCAACTTGTAGACAGAAATAGAAATTAAAAAGCAACTCACTCAACTGCCTTAAATTCGTAGTTTATTTCCTTCGTTGTGAATTGGAGGAAAGATAAAATCATCGCATAGTTGTTATCACTATCTAGTTTGATTTTTGACAAATTTCAAGGCTTAAATTTGCCAAAACTGATAAGGCTTTCCAGGGGGGTCTATAATGGCCTCATCAAATTTAGGTAAAGCATAGAAGTGACGCCTTAAAGTAACGGTGATAAATTGGCCTTCGAAATGAGCTGATCTTTATATAGAGCGTTTAGTGACAAAGACAATCACGGATTTCACAAGTTTTAACGTTGCTTAATGTAATTTATTTATACTCACTTAGGTTTCCCACATATCTATTGTCTACTTAAGCCTCAAAAATAAGTGGGAAAAAGTATCTATCCATTAGCCAGTCCGATTTAATATCGCGCCCTCTAAGTCATTACCCTTGGTTCAGTGCCTTCTCTTGAGGATGCTACCCAAATAAACCTTGAGTTAACTTCAACAATCTTCTCTGATAAAATCCAATGGTATAGAATTGCTCTCGAAATTAGCCAAAATACCCCCCAAAAGCATATATCACTGTTTATAAAGACTAACACACAAGCTAAGCTACACTGTGTCGACTGTTGATAGCTGGTCAGCTGAGAGGCCTCTGCATTTGTTCACTAGACGACTGTTTATGTCCGAATGAGATCTCTTTGATCAGACTTGATAGCATTGTGCACTTCACGGGTCTCAATCCTTCCTTTATTTCGTTTTGCCTCTATTTCATACCCATCTTCAATTCTTAAGGTTGCCCATTAGTGGTCATGCCATTAATAATCTATTTTTTTCAACAAGTTCTTGCGAATTTTTATAATCTTTGGAAAATTCTCTTGGCAAGAAAATTAATCGTAGCATAAACAATCACTCTTATTGGTCAATTAACTTTAATACTCCCAATTGGCATAAATAACGCCCATATTTGAGACGTTAGAATTAATTAATAAAATGATTTCCCAGCACAAAAATAGTACCTGCTAATAGAATTTTATATAGCTTTCTAGTAATCTATAGAATTGAATTATGCTGGCAAAAAATCATTTGAAACAGTCTGTTTGGGGATATACTTTGTAATTTTTAGCCTTAATTAAAACATCCACATACCTTAAGTATGTAGAAATTAGTCCATAACACTCTTTATCGATTTCTTTGGTTCACCGTTAAATTAGCACGCAATTTAGAAGTCATTAATACCGTGTATCACAATGAATCGTGGTCAGTCGGAATGTATTGGTTCTGAAAACCAAAATAGATCATTTCATCATGTTATGGGCACGTACAACAGCTCAGCTGTGTCAAAGTTAGCATCGAATGCTCATATATTTCAACTCATGGGAGCCATTTCGTATTTTAAAAAGGCGAAGTGGAACAACAATTCAATTTTCACTGGAGCGGGGGAAATAAAGAAGCCCTCAATTTACAATTCCACAACCCAGCCAGAGCGTTTACTTCTTATATATTCACTAAGAAATGATATAATATACAAGATGTTGGTACAACTGGAAGAAATTTTTATGTTTTAGTATATAAATTTAGTCACTTTAAAGCCTTTTTTCTAGTTCATGTGCTTAAACTCTATTTTTCCAAGGGGTGATGTTCGTATCTTCTTATGGAAGATGTTATTTTCGCAGAAGTAGGATAATGAGCAGTGCCATTAACCTTATAAATTTCACTTTTTGATAAAAATTGAAGGTTTCTATATTATTTTCATTTGAGCCGATATCTTAGAAAAAATTACTCCCTCCTTCAGGACGAATAGTCTACAACTCACTCTCATGTGTTGTTTCACAAATTTAGATCTCTAATAGTTTTAATCCATTGTTTTTATATCCATAATGATAGTACATTGATTTGATAACAATATCAGCAAAATTCTGACGTGAGATTCCAGCACGATTTTTCATCATTGATTGGTTGAACCAAGAAATGTATCCCATCATGCGAGCCACTTGTAGTTGCGCGTTACAGAACCACGCGTTATGGCTGGCGCACACGAGGATTGATCGATAGGCTAACTGGGAAGGTGATACGTACGCACTAGGCACTTGTGACTGGGGGCGCAGGCCCTAGACAAGCAGACTGTCCCAGAAAAATCGGGCAACGTTTGTCAGCGTTACTCAACGCAAGCACACACGCACCACAAAAGACAATTTGGCTAAATTTAAATTTTAACGGATTTCACAATAGGGGGACTTTGCAGCAAAGGTGTCCGCAACGACATGGTGGACGATAAACTCAAAAATGCCAAGGTTATTTTTGTCCTCGGTAAGTCCCTGCTCCAAATTTAGGTTTCCTTTTGTTTTAGAATCAAGTTTAGCAACGGTACAAACAAAATATAGCTTGCAATATGTTATTTTAATATACCCATTTTATAATCGGTCTTTGTTAACCCTGGGCGAGGGTCAATCGATTTTTTTGCAATTTTCAATATGTACCTAAACTAAGCAATCTTTATATTTTTATTTTAAATAATATGATAATTTTTTATTTACTGATGAATTTTGGTTAATGTTGAAGTCTGAGACTACTCTATTACAAATTCGAATTTCTCTTAATGGGAAAAAATGTCTTCCTTTTTCCATCACATCATAAGTTGTGACAACGGTATTGTGCTTACTGGTAACCAATGCTGCACTTAAATTCAATATTCTCCGAGTTCATACAGTGGGCCGAATTTCTTATTATCTTATCCGTTTAATGTATTTTAAAAATGTGCGTACGTAAAACCAGACCATGTTTTAAGTTAATTCATTTAAATTTTTTAAAATCCAATTACATGGTTTTATTAGTATGAAGGTCCATTCGTTCTTCTTCGTTTGTCATGCTTTTTCATCAAAAGGTAATTCAAGTGACGTTAGTAGTGATTTCTGCGCTATAATAACATGTGAGTACGCCACCACTTGATTACAGCATTATACATGTGTCCTCGTGGAATAGAAAGCCAATTTCATTCGGACTTCCATTTCCATCACTATTTGCAGCTTACATCAAGTTCATTGGGTGAAGAGTTGGTGACACTCTTTCTCTCTCAGTGTAAATGCGCTTCAATCTTCAAAGCAGGCGTCTTAGACGTAATGGTTTGAGTAATGGTTGCGTAAGAAGTCATGCTTTTGAACTGCTGTCACAGGAATTCCACTTAATAAAAATTTGAATTACCACCTGAATTCCCAATAGTTGTCTGGGAATGGAAGTTTGTATTGTTAAGTACTCTTGATGGAAGGTGAATCCTTTTCATAAGCATCAAAGAATTCACATCCAATATTGTCTAAACTCAGATACGGGTATTTTTTACCACTTGGAAAATAAAAGTCAAGAGCTTTCAATAGAATAAGTTATCAACTTTGAATACCAATGCTTATTCCACATTTACAAATAAAAGAAGCGGTTAGTTGGCATGAGCTTCTCGTCCCAAAACACACTTTTATGCATATTCAACTTCCTTACTTTTTCCGCGTTTTCTTACCTCAAGTGTACTTAGAGTACAAACATTTTTTTGTGTCGAGTTACGGCATGAATGCTCCATGATTATTATTGCTAATTCAAATTCGACCAATTTCAGCTGTCTACATGAGAAACTATTTTTAATCAGAACTTAAAAATCACAAGATAGTAGGGTACAACTTGCAGTCAGTTCATAACACGTGTCTGTTATACAACATATTTATACTCTAAACATATCATTAAGTGCACAAAACTTAAAATTTGTAAAAATTCCCCATTCATTCTAGGCAATGATTTGCCGCGATGCGCCAAGAAAATTTCTTCATCTTTATAAGAATTTCCAACACCTAGATTTGAAGGCGAACATTTGCCGCCCTAACTCTACTAACTTTATTCAGTTTACATGCTTAGCTAAGTAGCCAGATAAATTTTATACTAAATCGAAATTGCCACAGAAACATTCAGCATCTCAAATTGACCACTCCTATCTTCTTTACTACAAATCGTTCAAGTTTTTATAGTAAAAATTTATGTCAAAATTAATTTGATTATCGCCAATGGTTCTCTCCAAACATATTCAGAACACCATCTATGGTGGGGAATAGTTTCAAAAAGATATTTGTGAGTTTCATAGGGAAATCTTATTCAGTAGCAGGAAGTGTTTCTATGCCTTTGAATAATGTGGGTTCGATGCATTTGCAATTCAATCTGCCAACATACATGATGATAAGTAGTTATTAACTTTAAGAGAAATAGTCTTGGGGCCATTATCCGGTGACTTAATCACGACAAAACCATTTGACTATATGCTAGAATTACATTAATACGTATGCTCACCGCTGCAAGGCCCTTCCGAAATATCTGTTCCCTTCCAAGGTTTAATAAGCTGTTTTTCTCTGGGGTGAATCCCAATAATTTTAATTTCTTGATAATAGGAGGGCCTGGCAGCGGAAAGGGGACCCAATGCGAGAAGATAGTGGAGAAGTATAAATTCAACCACCTCTCCAGTGGTGATCTCCTGCGAGCTGAGGTCCAATCTGGTTCCCCTCGAGGTAAAGATCTTCAGGCCACTATGGCGAAGGGAGAACTCGTTTCACTGGTTAGTTTTGTTAAACTTTTATATAATTATAATTGATGAAGTATAGAAATAAATTAAGTTAAACCATTACATCAAAAATCTGCAAATCTTGCTATCTGAAAACGATATTTAAGCAGTATAGTTAACTGCTTTATTGTTTAAAACTAAGTTAGTTCGATTGAGTCGCGAAGGTTACGGTTGATTGCGCAATTTTTACATTGTATAGCTTTTGGAGCAATCTTGCACTGGGAAATCACTTTCCTACCGAGCTTGTTTGTCGTATTCAGTTTCATAAATCGTCTTCTATAGCCTTCGATCTCAGCAATAACGAAAGATTTTAACTGAGAACATTAATTTTAGGAGGTTGCTTGAGGCATATTTACAATTTTTTTATTAGTCCAATGTATAATTGAGCAATTAGTTTAAGGGATGAGAAGGCGTTGTAAGTTACATCAAGTCACCCAGAAGCACCTATTTGGCATAAAAGTTTGCCTACACTAGCATTATGCAATACACTGTCCATTTTACTTTACGCATTTTAGCCAAATTGTTAATTGCATGAATAATTAATTAAAAATCTTTAATTCAATTTTTATCGGTTAAAAATAATTGATTTCCATTTAACACTGGAACTTTCTTTAATTAAGCAAAATGATAAGATGAACTACTAAATCATACTAACATTTGTAACAATTTCAAAGTTTATTTATTAATTTCAAATGGCAGGCTTTATGATATTTATCATTAGCCCTTAATCTTTGACTTCAGCTTCCCCCAAGAAGGGGGGGGGGGTACATTTATAGCAGTTAATTAATAGCTGTTCATTAGCAGTCTTCTTGCTTCCCAGTATCTTTGGCTTTCCGTCCGGGTGGGTCTTCTCCATTTCCTCATGTAGGTTACATAGAGGGCATGTGGGTTGAGTGTATACTCCCAATCTCTGAAGGTGTTTTGCCAAGCAATCGTGTCCGGTACGTAGTCTAAACTCACCAACGGCTTCGATTCTTGGCCAGTCGGGTATGTCGGAGAGTGCCACTGTCCACTGTTTCTCCTTTGTTCGAGCTTTAAGTTCATTGCACCTTGAGGTCTGGAATTCTCTCCTGATTAAGGCCTTCATTGTGTGGAAAGACATCGGCCGGTCCATGCATTGCAAAATCGTTGTCCCCTTCTTAGCAAGTGTGTCAGCAATCTCATTGCCTTTAATGCCACAGTGACCAGGAATCCATTGTAGGACCACTGTTTTGTTTTTCTCTCTCAGCAGCTCATACAGTTTTCTACATTCCTTTATCTCAGCTGTTTTGGGTGTCTCTCTGTTTCCAATTGAGTCTAT